CAGCCTGGGCAACATGGCGAGACCCCCTCTCTACAATAAATATAAAAATCAGTCAGGCGTGATGGTGCATGCCTGTAGTCCAGCTACTCAGGAGGCTGAGGTGGGAGAATCACCTGAGCCTGGGGAGGTCGAGGCTGCAGTGAACTATGATTGATTGCACCACTGCACTCCAGCCTGGGTGACAGAGTGAGACCCTGTCTAAAAAAAACAGCTGGGCCTGGTGGCTCACGCCTGTAATCCAGCACTTTGGGCGGCCGAGGTGGGCAGATCATGAGGTCAGGAGATCGAGACCATCCTGGCTAACATGGTGAAACCCCGTCTCTACTAAAAATACAAAAAAATAGCCAGGCGTGGTGGCGGGCGCCTGTAGTCCCAGCTACTCGGAGGCTGAAGCAGGAGAATGGGGTAAACCCGGGAGGTGGAGCTTGCATGAACCGAGATTGGGCCACCGCACTCCAGCCTGGGGGACAGAGCGAGACTCCATCTCAAAAAAAAAAAAAAAAAAAAAGATAAAGAAAAAGAAAGAGAGAGAAATAAAGAAACTCAATAACAGAAAGAAACTCAGTAACACTGTTTTAGAAGGACGGGTTTCACCATGTTTGGCCAGCGCTAATCTGGAACTCCTGACCTCAGGTGATCCCATCTGCCTCAGTCTCCCAAAGTGCCGGTATTATAGGCGTGAGCCACCGGCGCCTGGCCAATTTTAGTTCAGTGCTTCAAACTGAAAACACACTGAAGTTCAGTGTGCTTTCAGCGGTATATGTTAATGGTGTGTACCATACAACCATTTTGTTGCTTTTTATTTTCAGTATTCAATAAATTACATGAGATATTCAGCACTTTTATTATAAATAGGCTTTGTGTTAGATGATTGCCCAACTGAAAACCAATTTAAGTGTTCTAAGCATGTTTTAAGGGTGGGCTAGGCTAAGCTATATTGTTTGGTAGGTTGGGTATATTAAATGCATTTTTCAAATTTATGATATTTTTAACTTACAATGGATTTGTTTGAGATGTAACCCCATCAAAAGTAGAGGAGTGTCTATATTTATGCAATAGAATATTATTCAGCATAAAAAGAAGAAAATCCCATCATTTGCATTCAACATGGGTGAACCTGGAAGGCATTATGCTAAGTGAAGTAAGCCAAATGCAAGAAAGACAAATACTGCATAATCTCACTCATTGAGGAATCTAAGAAAGTTGACATGATAGAAGTAGAAGTAGAATGGTGGTGTAGAGCAGGGTGGTTGGAGGGTGGATGGTTGGGATCGCCAAGGATAAAAATTAAATTAGATAGGAATCGAGTACAAGAATCTATCGTATAGCCATGATTATAGCTTTAATAGACAATACTTTATTTCCTATTGGCAAATGCGGAGTGATGGGTATATAAAATGTTTTTATCACAAAAAATAATTATGTGAGTCGATACCAATTCTTAATCTTACTAGGATTTTAAACCGATTTCCACAATGTGTGTATAATATTAAATATTATACTTATAAAACATATATTGTACATGATAAATATTATTGTAATCTGTCACCATTAAAGAAACCCATAAAGTAAAAAAAATTTTTCTTCAGATTTTGATTTAAAAACTTACTTTACACTTTGTAATGCTTTTTGATACTTATTTCTTGTTCACCAACTGAAAAAAAAATAGAGTGGTGTTTTGGATACACTTTGATGCCAGTAACTCTATTATAATGTATTTTCTTTCCTTTTTTTCTCTGATCCTTTTTTTTTTTTTTTTTGGAGACAGAGTCCTCTCTCTGCACCTAGGCTGGAGTGCAGTGGTATGCATCTCAGCTCACTGCCAACCTCAGCCTCCCGGGCTTTCAAGCGATTTCCTCTTGCCTCAGCCTCCTGTGTCAGGTGGGGATTACAGTGCCATGCTATCCATCGCCTGCTAATTGTTGCTGTATTTTTAATAGAGACCGTTTTACATGTTTGGCCAGGCCTGGGTCCTCGAACTCCGACCCTCAAGGATCCACCCACCCGTCAGTCTCCCAAAGTGTTGGGATGACAGGTGTGAGCCCACCGTTTGCCTGGCTACATATTCTATTTTCTTTTCTTGCTTTTTCTTGAGACGGAGTCTCGTTCCTGTCACCAAGCTGGAGTGCAGTGCGTTGATTCGGCTCCACCGCAACCCTTTCCAACTCCTGTTTCAAGTGATCTCTCTGCCTCAGCCGTTCCCTAGTAGACTCGGGATACAGCATGGCACCACATGCCCAGCTTAATTTTTTGTATTTTTTAGTAGAGACGGGGTTTCACCATGTGGCAGGATGGTCTTGATCTCCTGACCGTCATGATCCCCTGCCTTCAGCCTCCCAACAGTGCTGGGATTACAGGCATAACCCACCCATGCCTGCCAATATTTAAATTTTTTTTCAAAGAACTCAACTGATATTTATTAAAGTAGCCCTGTTTTGAGGCGGCGAGTCATAGAAGCAATCAGGAAGTGGGTTCTTTTTTTTTTTTTTTTTTTTTTGAGACATGACTCTCACTCTATTGTCCAGGCTGGAGTATAGTGGCATGATCTCAGCTCACTGCAACTACTTCCACCTCCCAAGTTCAAGCAATTCTCCTGCCTTGGCCTCCCAAGTAGCTGGGGTTATAGGCATGAGCCACCACACCTGGCTAATTTTTTAATATTTTTGGTAGAGATGGGTTTCACCACATTGGCCAGGCTGGTCTTGAACTCCTGACCTCAAGTGATCTGCCTGCCTCGGCCTCCCAAAGTGCTGGGATTACAGGCGTGAGCCACCGCTCCGGGCTGTGAAGTGGGCTCTTTTGTGCTAACAGCTACAGAATAACAGGAATTTGCAGTGACAGGAAAACTGTAAACAAACTAAGACTATTACAGAGGGACAGATATGTCTCACTCTCCGCAGGAACATCCATAGGCAGGTTTAATGACTAAGCTATTTGGACAAGAGATTTTCCTACATTTACATGGCACATGGAACCAAGATTAAAATTCAAGAGAATGGTCTCAAAACACACACACACACACACACACACACACACACACACGCCCCATGCAGGCCAGGTGCAGTGGGGCACGCCTGTAATCCCAGCACTTTGGGAGGCCTAGGTGGGAGGATCACTTAAGTCAGGAGTTCTAGACCAGCCTGGCCAACATGGCAAAACCTCGTCTCTACAAAAAATACCAAAAGATTAGCCAGGCATGGTGGCACATGCCTGTAATCCCAGCTACTTGGAAGGTTGAAGCAGGAGAATCGCTTGAACCCAGGAGGCAGAGGTTGCAGTGAATGGAGATTGTGCCACTGCAATCCAACCTGGGTGACAGAGTAAGACTCTGTCTCAAAACAAAACAAAACAAAAGAATAATCTAAGAAATGCAAATGAAAACAAGGTATTTTAAAATCTATCAGATTGGCCAGGTGCCATGGCTCACGCCTGTGATCCCAGCACTTTGGGAGGCCAAGGCGGGCGGATCACGAGGTCAGGAGATCGAGACCATCCTGACGAACACGGTGAAACCCCATCTCTACTGAAAATACAAAAAAATTTAGCTGGGCGTGGTGGCAGGCGCCTGTACTCCCAGCTTCTAGGGAGGCTGAGGCAGGAGAATGGCGTTAACCCGGGAGGAGGCGGAGCTTGCAGTGAGTGGAGATCGCGCCATTGCACTCTAGCCTGGGCAACAGAGCGAGACTCCATCTCAAAAAAAAAAACAAAAACAAAAACAAACTATCAGATTAGCAGTTAATCAGACACTCTCGTATACTGTCTAAATTGGTATACTTTTTCTGCAGATAAATTTAACTGTTTAAGTTAAAACATCTGTACACTTTGACCCAGGGATTTCACTTTTAGGAATATATATAAAATAATCAGGAACACAGAACAAAATTTACATTCAGCAGGTTTGATCACTGCATTATCTTTATAAGTGAAAAATTAGAAACAACTTAAATATTCACCCAAAGGGATATGGGTAGACAACTTAGAGCATATCCATAAACATATTGTAAATGATTAAAATGATGTTTTTGAAGCATTTGGTGTCTTTGGAAAATACTCATGCTATACAGTATTTTCCAATTGTATTGGAATGGCCCTCCAATTATGCTATTTTATATAAGGGACTTGAGCATCTGTGGGACTATGGTATCCTCAGGGGGTCCTGGGATCTATCCCCTGTGAATACAGAGGGGCAATTTACTGTTAAGTGGGTAAAAATTCTGATAAAAGCTATACATCCAGAACATTCATAATGTTATTGCTAATTTGTGCACTTATGGGTCTTTATTTTCCAAGTGTATTATAATGAGCATATTTTTAAATTAAAAAATGCATTATTTTTAAAAAGGGTAATAATATTCATTGGGAGACTGTAAGCAACATACATGCCTCTTGGACGTTTCATGGACTTCATTAAAAACAGAGCCTAAGCTAGTTCTGGCTACTCTAAGAAAGACTATGATTGTGCGGCTAAGTTCTATGTATAATACGAAAAGTCAATACAAAATATGGGAAAAAAATCAATTTAGCCAGTATTTTAAAATGAATTTCATTTTAGAGGTTTTAAAAAGTTAGGGGATTGGCTGGGCACAGTGACTCACGCCTGTAATCTCAGCACTTTTGGAGGCCGAGGGGGGCAGATCACCTGAGGTCAGGAGTTTGTGACCAGCCTGGCCTACACTGTGAAACCTTGATGCTACTAAAAACACAGAAATTAGCCAGATGTGGTGGCAGGTGCCTGTAATTCCAGCTACTCGAGAGGCTGAGGCAGGAAAATCGCTTGAACCGGGGAGGCAGAGGTTGCAGTGAGCCGAGATCAGTGCTACGGCACTCCTGCTTGGGCAACAGAGAAAGACTTCGTCTCAAAAAAAAAAGAAGTTAGGGGATTATACGACTTTAAATATAGTATGTTTGAATAATTGCTTGACTTTGTGTCTGGGAACTGTTCTTTGCGTCTGGACACCAAGTAAAACATTAACTTTTTGATTTTTTTTTTCCCCAAGAAGAAGACATAAAGCAGGCTACCAGCAATTTTGAGAACTTGCAAAAACAGCTTGCAAGGAAAATGAAGCTTCCTATTTTCATAGCAGATGCATTCACAGCAAGAGCATTTCGTGGGAATCCTGCTGCTGTTTGCCTCCTAGAAAATGTAAGTGCTTGGTTTTGAATTACAGTACCTGCAATTCTAGATTCCTGTAGAAACAATTACTTATTTTAAAAGACTGGTTTCACCTGTTTGTTTACCAGTTTGGTTTGTGTTCTTTGCCATCATATCAGTAATGTTCATGTATGCAGGTTGATTTTGACCAAAGTATTTGATAAAAATGCCTATGCCTCAGGTACGTCCAGTGAAATGAAGATTCAGATAAAGAGGAACTAGAACCAATTTTAAAAAAGAAGAGCTACAGCTACCTTTTAGCCATCAGGTTTTCATTTAGTTAGCACCAAGTGTTGAGGAGAATGAAATTAGATGAGTTCTGTGTGACTAGACATAGCCGATTTCACATTTAGCATAAAAGATCCTAGCTGAGTATCTTTAACCTTACCTATAGCTCAGGCAATTAGAAATTCTTTTCAGGATCAAGAAAACGAGACATTTTGCAAGGAATTAAGTAGTTAAGTAGAGAGGTAGAAGGAATTAAGCTATAATATATAAATAACTTATTGAAAGACTCATTTTTAAAGTGGCTTTTTGATTAGGATAAATATTAATGGAATAGTTAAATATTAATGGAATAGTTAAATATTAATAGAATAGTTAAAAAGATAAATATTAATGGAATAAATAGTTAAATATTGTTAATAGTTAATATTTAAATATTGACCCTCAAGGTCAAGGAATATTGACCTTGTGTTGGTCCCTAAGTAGTAAGAAACAAGGTAAGGTGTCCTTTCACTCAGAGCAGTTAGCACAAAAGTAGATTATCTGAAAATTACTTCAAGAGGACAGTTAGCAATTGATGATCTTAAATAAGTCATATTAAGTTGGGCAAAGTGTGTGTTGGGGCCTTCAAGGACAGTGAATCTCAACCTGGCTATACATGAAAATCACCCAAGGAACTTTGAAAATGCTGTCTTCTAGACCAATTACAGCAGACTCTGGGAGTGGGGGGCAGCAGTGTTTTGTTTTGTTTTGTTTTGTTTTGTTTTGTTTTGTTTTGTTTTTGAGATGGAGTTCTGCTCTTGTTGCCCAGGCTGGAATGCAGTGGCGTGATCTGAGCTTACTGCAACATCTGCCTCCCAGGTTCAAATGATTCTCTTGCCTTAGCCTCCCGAGTAGCTGAGATTATAGGTGCCCGCCACCATGCACAGCTAATTTTTTGTATTTTTAATAGAGATGGGGTTTCATTATGTTGGCCAGGCTGGTCTTGAACTCCTGACCTCAGATGATCCACCCACCTCAGCCTCCCAAAGTGCTGGGATTACAGGCATGAGCACTGTGCCCAGCCAGCAGTGTTTTTTTAAAGTTTCCCAAGTGATTCCAGTGTGCAATCATGATGGAGAACTGGGCTGGGTACGGTGGCTCTTGCCTATAATCCTAGTACTTTGGGAGGCTGAGGCAGGAGGATTGCTTGGGGCCAGGAGTTTGAGACCAACCTGGCCAACATAGTGAGACCCTGTCTCTGAGAAAAAAGAAAAAAAAAAAAAAGGAGGACTGCTGAGGTGAACATTGTTTTCTTATTGCTGCTGTTGTGTTTTTTAATTTTTTTAAAATTTTTTTTATAAAACAGAAATGGGGTCTCGGTATGTTGACCAGGCTGGTCTCAAACTCCTGGATTCAAGTGATTCTCCCATCTTGGCCTTCCTAAGTGCTCAGATTACAGGCCTGAGCCACTGCACCTGGTGGAATATTATTAATTGACTCCTTTTCACACTTCTCCCTCAAGTGGAGCAGTAAGATGACCATCAAGAGTCCTTGTCTTACCTTAACTCTACATTCATTACGCAGACTTGAGCTGGTGTTTTCTCTCCACAAAATGCAGAAGGTAATAAAGTTAATAAACTTTGTCCATTATTACAAGAGCTTGGGAAGATTAATATGAAAACAATTAACAACCACATTCCAAATCATGACCTTTCTTTAGAAACAATCTGGCAGACACAACTTCCTGTCAAGGAATTGTGGAATTGACTATAACTGCTTGTCAAAAGTCTTAATACACTTGCCCCATGTCCCCATGTAATATCCTTGAAGAGTTTTGACAGTAGTTTATATTGAATAGAATATATTACATTTTTATCAGATAACAAGAATTGGATTATTCTACAACTTACTCCTTTTATTTCCAGTAAATTCACCAAACATCAGATTTATAGGATTGATATCTCTCTCTCTCTTTCTTTCTTTTTTCCTCTCTCTTTCTACCTATGCCTCCATTAAAACATATTTTATATGTTAATTATATATTTGGAAAAACTAGGAAATAAAAATTTAAGCGAAGAACTTGTAGTTTAAAACAACATGCTTTAGTATGAATGGAAGAAGGAAAAAGAAGATAAGGAAGTCCATGATTTGGGGACGTTCTCTAAAAAGTTTTCCAATTCACTTCTTTTGAGGCTTTTGGGCCTGTGAGACCAGGATAATTTCATGGCCTGTCAGGGACACCTGAATAGGTATCTAAAGATTAGTTTGCTAGGCCTCTTAGTCATGCTTTTCCACTCTTTGGATGTGAGAATCTTGCCCTCCTGGAGGCGAAGGTAGCACTTTTCCTAATTCATAATCAATAAAAATTATAATAGAAGTATAAATGGTGGTGTCTGCCCTTGGGTTCGTTGTCCTGAGATGGTGGAGAGAATACAGGTGGCCACAGGAAAATGTCAGAGATAAATAAACGCTAAACCTTATAATATTGACCACAATTCATTCAGCCAGGCTCTGGGCTAGGAGCCAGAGGTACAAAGGTTAACAAGTGCACCTGCCCTTGAGGTGCTCAGAGTCTAGTGCGGAAAATGGCCATGTAAACTGATTGTTATTCAGTAGTCACCACAGAGGCTAAAAGACCTGAAGGTACCAGGTACAAAGGTACCAGGACTCAGAGAATGGAATAATGTTAGGTTTTATGAGGTAAAAACACTTCAGATTTTAAGTGCAGGGCTTCAGAGGAATTTTTTTTTTTTTTTTTTTGTAGCTTTGTTTTAAATTATTCAAAATTTGACCAGGATGAGATTAACCACAGGAAAACCTGCTGGATAGACTAAAGACTAGGTAGGTCATGGTGCTTTGAGCTTTTTGAACATTTGATAAAAGACTACTAAAAGTAAAGTAAAAACTTCTGAGTAGTAAAGTTCAAGAGCTTCTATAATATTCTAAAGGATTTTTTGTTTGTTTTCAAGACAAGTCCATTTTTCAACTTTTTTTATTTTTATTTTTTTGAGATAAGCAATCTTCCCACCTCAGCCTCCCAAAGTGCTGGGATTACAGGTGTGAGTCACCATGCCCAGCTGACATTTTTAAATTTTTAAATTTTTCACATGAGAAACATATAACACTATATATTAGGTGAAAACAAAAACAGATTAAGGTCTAAGTGGAACATAAAACAAATATTTGAAAAAAATTTAATAAAAATTGTCTGGGTGCTGTGGCTCACACCTGTAATCCCAGCACTTTGGGAGGCTGAGGCAAGCAGATCACCTGAGGTCAGGAGTTTGAGACCACCCTGGCCAACATGGTGAAACCCCATCAAATTAGCCAACGTTAAAGACCAGCCAAAAATTAGCCAGGTGTGGTGATGTATGCCTGAAGTCCCAGCTACTCCAGAGGCTGAGGCAGTAGAATTACTTGAACCTGGGAGGCGGAGGTTGCAGTGAGCTGAGAAAGCACCACTGCACTCCAGCCTGGGTGACAGAGTGAGACTCTGTCTCAAACATAAATACATAAATAAATAAATAATTTAAAAAATTGATGGTGTCCTCAGATGCCTGACAATCCATTTGACAATAGAGACCTTGTAGAAGCATGGAAAATGTGTAGAAGCAATGTAAAAACGAAAACAGACACATTATGATGACAGCTGGTAAAAAACTAGAGGGACCCATGACTAGCTGCTGGTTGTGGTGGCAATAACCAGTGGTGCTTTTCTTTTTAATTGTATTTTTTTTTTTTTTCAGAGACAGGACCTTGCTCTCTCCCCTAGACTGGAGTACAGTGGCACGATTATAGCTCACGGCAGCCTTGAACTCCTGGGCTCAAGCTATCCTCCTGCCTCAGCCTCCTGAGTAGCTGAGACAACAGGTGTGCACCACCACGCTCAGCTAATTTTTATTTTTTGTAGAGACAGGGTCTTGCTCTGTTGCCCAGGCTGGTCTCTAACTTCTGGCCTCAGGGGATCCTCTTACCTCAGCCTCCCAAAGTGCTTGGTCAAGAGCCACTGCACCCAGCTTAGTGTTTTGTAGATTTTAGTTTACAAGTTTTCCACTTCCTTGATGGTTTTAGAACTTTCTCCATCCAGGTGTGTTGACTTTACTGGAATCTTGTCTACAGCAGAGGGACAAATGAACAATAAGGACTGATAAGTCAGGGCTGTCATATTCAGGCTGCCATATTTCAAAACTGCCACAAGATGGGAGTATTTTAAACCTTTACTCTGATTTTCTGATCATTCATCTTTGTGGGTCATAGGGTGATGGAGCCTCAGTATCCCAAAGCAGTGCACTGGAACTCAGAAAGGCAAACATCACTCTGTTTTTGCTGTTGGAAATTTGATTCACATGAGACGGCCAAAGGGAAATGGATATTAAAGCAAGGGAATTCATAACTGTTGGTTTGCGACTGTTTTGTGCAGTGTTTGAAAAGAAGCTTCTAGTGTAAAATGGAAAAATTGTTGGAAAGAAAAGCCAATATTTTGAACGAACGCATCCTCTCTCTTTTGTTTGTAAGGCTTTCAAAGTTGAAGTCTTTCCATGATTCACCATTGTCTTGACCTTTGGTTGCAGTGTAGGAATTCAGTGAAAGTCCAGCTGCCAGTGGTACATGTTGTGGGCCGCTACTGTTAAACTTCCCACGTGTCTGTGGTCCCTCAGGCAAGTAGCAGGTGCATTTTTCATTGTCCTGAAATAGAAGTTACAGTTATATAAATTCAAATTGCAAGAAACGCAGTATACCAAGGTAGAGAGGATTAAAGAGCTGGTGGGCAGTGGAGTTTGCATCCTAGCTAATGTGTGAAAGGGCCCATTTGCAAAGAAATCTGTTACCAATAGATGGTGAGCTTCACTACAATGTAGATGTTTTAATACTTTTAAAGACTTATCCTAAAGGTCACAGGGAGCTATAGACAAAGAAAGTAAGGACAAAGATGGGAAATTTGGCCAGATCAGCTAGAGGAAGGACTGGCAGGCACTTTAGGTTTCTGCAGGCAAGAAGGCAAGTCCAGGAAGGCCAGCAAAGGCTTTTCTTGATCACTTTTCGATTACCACTGAGACCTGTGATTGCAGACTCTGCACTAAGGGGCTAAAATACCTTCCAGTTTCTATCAGGTGTCGTGTGCATGGGCATCTGGACCAGTTTCCACAGAAAACATTCAACAGGCCATGGGAAGTGCTTGAGTTCAGTTGTTAACATTGTTGTCTCGTTGACTGGGACTTTCCAGCGGCCCCCTCTACTCCTCTACTTAGGTGGGATTTCTCACTTATCCAGGCCCATAGGTGCCCACAGGTGGGACAGGTACTCATCCCACCACATTTTCATCATCCTATTTCTAGAGTTCTAGAGTGTCCGTTATGTTAAAGTTTAATCTCTGATTTAACAAGAGAACAGGCGGGTGCGGTGGCTCATGCCTGTAATCTCAGCACTTTGGGAGGCCGAGGTGGGCAGATCACCTGAGGTCAGGAGTTTGAGACCAGCCTGGCCAACATGGTGAAATCCCATCTCTAATAAAAATACAAAAATCAGCTGGGTGTGGTGGCACGCACTTGTAATCCCAGCTACTCAGGATGCTGAGGCAGGAGAATCACTTTAACCCGGGAGGCGGAGCTTGCAGTGAGCTGGATCGCACCACTGCGCTCCAGCCTGGGTGACAGAGCGAGATTTCCTCTCAAAAAAAAAAAAAAAGAGAGATCAAGAAAACTTGCCTAAGAAGGTATCCTAATACAAAGCTCTTTGCACACACTTTTCTGTCCAAATCACCGAAATCTCCCCTCTTTTCTAGGTTCACCACAAGGCCTTATCTTTAAAGTTTTAGAGTATTTATTGTCAAAACCTATGTGTCTCAATTACATATTCTCTAGTATTGTTCACAGTTGCTGTCTGTGGCTGTCTTGACTCCCCACCTAGATGCTAGATCCATGGCTTATACACGAGGGTTTCTCAAACTTTAATGTGTACATGATCACCTGGGGAGCTTGTAAAAATGGAGATACTGATTCAGAAGGTCAGAGGCCCAAGACGGGGGGCCTTGGACTCTGCATTTCTAACAAATCCCCTTAGTTGTGGTGCCGTGCTCCTGGCCCACACAGCACTCATTAATTGGTTGATTGCTGTTCTGTCTTAGAAACCTTTTGGGGGTCCATTTTCTCTGCTAGACATTGGTTTTCCCTGTCTGTAGCATGTTAAAGGGTTAATAATCGTTTGTCTTTGTGATGGGCAGGCTATGTAGTATGGCTGGTTAAAGCATGACTTTGAGCCACTCAAATAAAAAGCTAACATGTATCAAGTACCTACTATGTGTTGGGCACTGGAATGAGTTATTTCTCTTTCTCTCTCTCTCTCTCTCTCTCCGTTTCTTTCAGTCTCTCTCTGGGTGAGCCGGGGCGTAGAGGCGCACACCTGTAATCCTAGCACTTTGGGAGGCCTATATGGGCGTATTGCCTGAGCTCAGGAGTTCAAGACCAGCCTGGGCAACATGGCGAAACCCCATCTCTACTAAAATACAAAAAATTAGCCGGGCATGGTGGTCTGCACCTGTAGTTCCAGCTACTCAGGAGGCTAAGGTGGGAGAATCACTTGAACCCAGGAAGCATAGGTTGCAGTGAGCTGAGACAGTGCCATTGTACTCTAGCTGGGGCAACAGAGTAAGACTCCGTCTCAAAAAAAAAAAAAAAAAAAAGAGGGCTTTTATTTGTTTCCTGCCATGATTGATTGATTGATTGATTGATTGATTGATTGATTTTTCAGACAGAGTCTCGCTCTGTTACCCAGGCTGGAGTGCAATGGCATGATCTCTGCTCACTGCATTCTCTGCCTCCCGGGTTCAAGCGACTACTGCCTCAGCCTCCTGAGTAGCTAGGATTACAGGCGTGCACCACCACGCCTGGCTAATTTTTGTATTTTTAGTAGTGATGGGGTTTTACCATGTTGGCCAGGCTGGTCTCTAACTCCTGATCTCAGGTGATCCACCCACCTCGCCCTCCCAAAGTGCTGGGATTAGAGGCATAAGCTACCACACCTGGCCCCTGCTAGGATTTTTATATCAGCTGGCAGTTTTAAAATCATGACTGATTTTTCACAATAATCACAGTTTTATGCCCTATACAATTATATGGAACATGTTTCAAAAGATTTTGAATCAAAGACAAAGAGTGTTTAATTTGCATAACTCAGAGAAGTGAATTATGAATTTATTAATATAAAATTATAATTTTTCTGGGTTTCAGGAGATCAAGAGCAATAAATCTGGCCAAAATAAAAATGCATTTGTCTTGAAACTTCTTTAAAATTCTAAATCTAACTAGTAGATTTCAGTTAGAAAGAGTTTCAGGAGATCAAGAGCAATAAATTTGACCAAAACAAAAACGCGTTGTCTTGAAACTTCTTTAAAATTCAAAATCTAACTAGTAAGCGTTTTATTCATTAAAAATGGATTTTTCTTCTCAAAACAAAAACATATTTCAAGTCCACTTTTGTTTTTTGTTTTTGTTTTTGTTTTGAGACGGAATCTCGCTTTGTCACCCAGGCTGGAGTGCAGTGGCGCGATCTCGGCTCACTGCAACCTCCGCCTCCCGGGTTCAAGCAACTCTCCTGCCTCAGTCTCCCAAGTAGCTGGGATTACAGGCACGTGCTACCACTCTCGGCAATTTTTTTGTATTTTTAGTAGAGACGAGGTTTCTCCATATTGGCCAGGCTGGTCTTGAACTCCTGACCCCGTGATCTACCTGCCTTGGCCTCCTAAGGAGCTGGGATTACAGGCGTGAGCCAACGCGCCCAGCCGGGTCCACTTTTTTCTTGAGTTGAGGAATGTGTGTGTGTGTGTGTGTGTGTTTGTATGCATGTATATATCTTCACAATAAACCTTGACTTAAGTGCTATTATTCCCATCTTAAAGGTGTGGAAACTGAGGCCATAAGATTAAATGACTTGCCCACTTTTACACTGCTACTAGAGGCTCACCCAGGATAGAAATTCAATTCTGTTTTCAAACCCACATAATTTTTAAAAACATTTTATTTTGAAAAATTAAAAACCTACAGAAAAGTTTCAAGAATGGTACAGTGAACATGCATATTCCCTTCCCCTAGATTCACTAGTTGTTACTATGTAAAAAATATTTTTTTAGAGTCAGGTTCTCATGATGTTGCGCAGGCTGGTCTTCAACTCCTAGGCTCAAGCGATCCACTCTCCTTGGCCTCCCAAAGTGCTGGGATTATAGGCATGTGCCTGGCCAGTTGTTACTATTGTCCACATTTGCAAAGCCCTCATTCTTTTTCTTTTTCTTTTCTTTTTTGTTTTTGAGACAGGATCTTGCTGTGTCACCCAGGCTGGAGTGCAGTGGCACAATCATGGCTCACTGCAGCCTTGACTTCTGGGCTCAAGTGATCCTCCCACCTCAGCCTCCCACGTAGACTGGACCATTGGCAAGCACCACCATGCCCGGCTAAATTTTTTATTTTTATTTTTTATAGAGACTGGGGGGTGGTCTTGAACTCCCAGTCTCAAGCAATCTTCCTGCCTTGGCCTCCCAAAGTGCTGGGATTACAGGCATAAGCCACCACGCCCAGCTAAAGCCCTTGCTCTTTTTTTTTTTTTTTTTTTTTAATTCTTTTTTACAGAGACAGGGTCTTACTATGTTACCCAGGCTGGTCTTGAACTCCTGGACTCAAGCTATCCTCCCTCCTCAGCCTCCCATAGTGCTGGGATTACAGGCGTGAGCCACCACGCCTAACTAAGCTCTCATTCTTAATCACTGTAGTGTTTATTAGGTATATTGTGGTCTTAGGATATTATATGATCTCTCTGTTTAATTTCTTCATTTGTAAGGGTATAAAAATATTTACATTGAGGGTTTTAAAAATGAGATTAAGTGAAATAATGTACTTAGTTTTTCAACAAATGTTTGTTGACCTCCTACTGTGCTGGGGTGAATACCAGGCATTGTTCCAGGTCCGGACAAAGCAAGACAGCATAGTCCGTACTCCAACAGAACTTAGAATCAGAGGTGGGGAGGCCAGACGGTAAAGGGCATACCAGGCAATTTCAGGACATCTAAGCACTGGTGAGGAGACAACACCTTTAGACACAGTGGTCTGGGAAGGCTTACTGGAGGAGGTGACCCCTGGCCTGAAGCCCTTCCCACGAAAGGGAGTAAACCATGCAAAGACAGGGGAGGAGCGGTCCAGCCTGCCCAGAGTGAGTGCTGAACCTCTTTTTCACCAACAAAGCAAGGGAGATTGGGGTACTTCCTTGCATGGCATTTGTTTTTAGAAGAGAGCACACTCTGTCAGCTAGACTAGATCTTAATGTGACAAAAGACAGGCCAGGCCAGCCAGTTTTTCACAGTCTATTCCAGCTTGTACATTTATAACTCTTCTTCACAGGGTACTGCAAACATGGGTTTCTGAGAACCAATCTTTATAAAAGTGTCTTGAATTCCTTGGTAATTATTTCCTTTTAAGCATATAACTTTTATTATTAATAAACTGCTTTTAAATTAATGGTAGTTGTTGTCCAAAGGAAGTCTGATCTGTGTTACTGAAACCTCAATGATCTTATGTTTCTAATTAAGGAATTGGAAGAAGACATGCATCAGAAAATTGCAAGGGAGATGAACCTCTCTGAAACTGCTTTTATCCGAAAACTGCACCCGACAGACAACTTTGCACAAAGTAAATATGCTTTTTTTTTTTTTTTTTTTTTAAAGAACTGCTCTGTCACCCAGGCTGGAGGGCAGTGGCATGATCTTGGCTCACTGCAACCTCCACTTCCTGGATTCAAGCAATTGTGCCTCAGCCTCCCAAAGTGCTGGGATTATAGGTGTGAGCCACCGCTTTACAATCATTCTTGAATGACACCAGAAATTATTTTTAGGTGGGGGGATGATCTTTAAGGAAAATGCCCCCTTATTATTTGCATGCAGACAGTAGATAGAGCGGGAGATTCTGATTTGGTTTTCAGTTCATCTGGGGGAGAGGGTGTTGGTGAACCTGAATGTTTCCATTCCAGATCTAGCACTGGGGAGCCCTACGATGCTTGCCTAGCCATCATTCTTCCTTTTACAACATGTTTTGGCTATTCATCATTCTAGAGAAATATTTAGGAAAGAAGAAAATGAGAAATCTGTGACCTGCTTGCATGGGAATGATCTCATCTCTCTTTGGCTTTTCCTACCCTCAGGTTCCTGCTTTGGACTAAGATGGTTTACACCGGCAAGTGAGGTTCCGCTCTGTGGCCACGCCACCCTGGCTTCTGCAGCTGTGCTGTTTTACAAAATAAGTAATGTGATTTTCTTTAATGAATCTAACACTTAGCAAATGGCTTTTTTTTTTTTTTTAAGTTCTCACACAGACTTATTCTGATGGTCCAAAGTGACTGGTATAAAGACTTTGCAGAGTTTACTTCATGCTATTCGTAATGCAGAAACAAAACTAGCGACCTTCAATAGCACTTTTACCTTTCTGAGTATGTGCCCACCATCACTGGAAAGCTGCAGTCAGAATGCTATTTTTTAAACCGGAGATCTCTGGTCTTTGTGAAGCTTGCATGGGCAGAATTGTCATCTCATACGATATGAGATTGGGGACCAACAGGAACGTTTCACTCCAATTATTTCCCCTCCCACATTGAAATTCATTTCACAGTAAGAGATTCTTCAATAAACTTTTTTTTTTTTTTTTGAGATGGGGCCTGGCTCGGTTGCCCAGGCTGGAGTGCAGAGTTGGGATATCAGTTCACTGCAACCTCTGACTCCTGGGCTCAAGCCATCCTCCCACTTCAACCTCCAAAGTAACTGGGACCACAGGTGCACACCACCACACCTGGCTAATTTTTGTATTTTTGGTAGAGAGCGGGTTTTGCTGTGTTGCCCAGGCTGGTCTCAAATTCCTGAGCTCAATTGATCCACCCACCTTGGCCTCCCAAAGTGCTGGGATTACAGGCATGAGCCACCACGCCCAGCCAATAAGAGCTTCTTTGCTCTGAATTTTAAAGATTCCTGGGCCCCCACTGTATATATGCATTCACCTTAAGAGGAGTTGCAGCACCTTAATTCTGCCAGTTTCTATCTTAGCTGCATTTAGTTTAATGGACAAAGATCAGGGCCTTGTGGGGATGGGACAGAGGAGAGATTCCTGGGAAATGCCCTAAAACAGGAGATGGAAGCAGCCAGAAACAAGCATAGACAGCAAACGGAAATGGAAACAAGGAAAGAAACAGGATAATACGACAGAAGGTCACTGTGGGGGTTGGGCAAAACCCCGTCTTTACTAAAAATACAAGAATTAGCCAAGTGTGGTGGCGCATGCCTGTAGTCCCAGCTACTCAGGAGGCTGAGGCAGGAGAATCGCTTGAATCTGGAAGGCGGCAGTTGCAGTGAGCCGAGATTGTGCCATTGCACTCCAGCCTGGGCGACAGAGCAAGACTCCGCCTCAAGGAAAAGAAAAAAAAGAAAGCAGGATTGAATAGAGGGAGAAATTGAACTGCAGAGTAGTAGCAACAAAGAAAGGCCTAGGCCAAATCCATGGGGAGCTCTAAAGCTGGACATTTTTTCAAGTAGTATAGTTCCAAGTAGAGGCAGAGATTCAGGTCTTTTTGTCCTTCATGGACCAGTCCCCAAAACCTGGAAAAGATGTATGACTTTGGGCAAGGTAGCTCTACTCAGCCAAGGGTAACTCCAAGAGAGTGACTCAGTTGAGAGCTGTAGGCCACCAGCACTCTGGGCAAGCAGGGTCAGGGCCGGGTGTAGGCAGAGCCAGCAAGGACCCAGGTTGCAGCTGAGAGCAGGTGCCTCCTTACATTTTGTACCTTATGGTACTTCCTTGCCTCATGGAGTCCCAGTCCTGAGGCCATGGGTCAGACATAGAATCTGGATCAGCACCCACTAGAGAAGGGGAACTTTGGGCTAAAGGATAAGATGAAGCATCTGTGGGACGAGCTAGAGTGAGAGGAGGAGCATCCCAGGCAGAGGCTAGCAAGTACAAAGACCCTGGGACCTGTCTATATGATTGGCAGGGATAAAGTTGAGAGGCCATATAATATAATTCAATATACATTTCAAAAAGATGATTTTGGTATCTGTGGATAGGGGACACGTGCAAAGGCAAGCAGACATTCTGAAATGTTTAGGAATTGAGTCTTGAAAAATAAGATTTACTGAAATTAAATTGAATGTCTTTTGTTTTTTTGTTTTTGTCTTTTTTGAGATGGAGTTTTGCTCTTGTAACCCAGGCTGGAGTGCAATGGCAAGATCTCGACTCACTGCAACCTCTGCCTCCTGTGTTTAAGCGATTCTCCTGCCTCAGCCTCCCAAGTAGCTGGGATTACAGGTGCCTGCCACCATGCTTGGCTAATTTTTGTATTTTTAGTAGAGATGGGGTTTCACCATGTTGGCCAGGCTGGTCTCAAACTCCTGACTTTAGGTGAACCACCTGCCTCTACCTCCCAAAGCAAGATTGAGTGTCTTTTGAAAACTGGACTCCACATGGGTTGGTTTGATGCTGAGGTTTGGAATAATAACACCCTGGAACCCCCCATAGGGCAGTCTTAAGGTTAGATAAGATAAGATATGAAAAAATGCTTTGTAAATAGTAATGTCTTACATCGATCATAATGAGAAAAATTAAGCTTTGTGTTTCCAAATGTCAATTTTATGCTCAATGAAAGTTAATAAGTCAGAGTTCTTCACCTTTGACATGTGATTTAAGTTTTACAGAAATATTAAGAGAGAGAAAAGAATTAGGTCACCATTCTTTGTTTTCACTAAAAATGTTACACACACTGATAAGTAGCCCAAGCTGTATCAGTAACAGGGGGTGGCAGTATTTGTGGTGCATTCTTTAAATCACATTGCTGTGTAAAAAGTTTGGTTTATTTAGGATAAACCACATTTATTTCATATAAGACTGATATTTACAACTTAAATGTTTTGTTATTCCCTTGGCATATCTTAGACTAGAAGAGGTTATGACGCTATGGTTGTTGCTGCAGGATATTTTAAAATCTGTATTAGAAACATTTTAGACTAGGTGCAGTGGTTCACGCCTGTAATCCCAACACTTTGGGAGCCAAGGCAGGAGGATCGCTTCAGTCTAGAACTTAGAGACCAGCCTGGGCAACATAGTGAGACCCTGTCTTTACAAAATATTTAAAAATTATCCAGGCATTATAGCTCATGCCTGTAGTCCCAGCTACTCGGGAGGCTGAGGATTGCTTGAGCTCAGGAGGTTAAGGCTGCAGTGAGCCAGTCCCCAGCCTGGGCAACAGAATGAGACAGTTCCTCAAAGAAAGAGAAAACATTATAAAAGGTAGGTTTAATGTATTAACCTCATTTTATAGATGAGGAAACTGAGATTTAAGGAGGCTGGCCAGGTGTGGTGGCTCACGCCTATAATCTAATCTACTTTGGGAGGCTGAGGCAGGTGGATCACTTGTGGTCAGGAGTTTGAGACCAGCCTGACCAACATGATAAAACCTCGTCTCTACTAAAAATACAAAAATTAGCTGGGTGTGATGGTGCACACCTGTAATTCCAGCTTCTTGGGAGGCTGAGGTGGGAGAATCACTTGAACATGGGAGGCAGAGGGTACAGTGAGCTGAGATCACGCCACTGTACTCCAGCCTGGGCAACACAGTGAGACCCTGTCTCAAGAAAAAAAAAAAGAGGCTAAGTTAGTAAGGGCATAGTAAGCAGTAAAGAGCTGGGATCTGAAGACTTGAAGTATGACGCCATATCCAATCAGTTTTGTTCTTGGTTCTCAAGTTAGAATCTAGTGAGAGTTTTCTCCATTCTAGACCCCAGCAACGCAAACCTCGCTCCATCATAGAAAAGGATGGCATTGCCAGAAAATCTAAGACAATGCAAAGGTGTTTGAAATGGACATGTACATATATGACAAAGTTGATTTCCTATTTCTTGATTCCTATTTTGGCCAGAAAACGTGAATAGCACACTCACGTTTGTCACTCTGAGTGGAGAACTAAGGGCCAGACAAGCAGAGGATGGCATCGTCCTGGACTTGCCTCTTTATCCAGTCTACCCCCAGGTCAGCTCTTTGTGATTATTGCCCTAAGCCGTGTACAACTGACAGCTCTCCTGTTTTATAATAATTTTGTTTTTTTCCCCCCCCATCTAGGACTTCCATGAAGTAGAGGACTTGATAAAGGTTGGTAAAAAGAATCAAACTTGAGCCTAGTTATTTGTTGTTGTTTGCACACAAAGATTTGGTACCATTTGATCCCTAAAGATAGGCATTCTACCAATATAAATGTTACAGTGTTTCAGGTTTGAATTTTAATATTCAGTCTATTTGGTGAGAAGGTTGACCAGTTTTCCTTGGCTCCTGATTGTCAGTGCTGGCCCCATGGTAGGATGGAGGGAAGAGACACTGTTATGTGACAGGCTGAAAGGCACAAAAGAACCAATGGAGGTGGTGAAGAAGAGAGAGAATGGGATGTCTTAAGGAAATGTAAGTTTCTGGGAGGAGACCAGCCTCTAGGGAAATTAAGGAATGTTGAATTTCTGTACTTTTCTAGCTAGAAGGAGAGGAATGGGCCCCGAGCATGGCCATGCTAGTTCAGGTATGAAAGTTTTGGAGACAAGACAATTTTAAAAACAAACTACTTTAAACATACTGGTAAGAAAGTGGAAAAAACCTTATAATGGTAGACCTTGTTCATGGTAGAAAGAACTTAACTTATCCTCAGTCAGCATTTATTAAATGGGATAACAAAGGGTTGTAAGTATTGCCATTTTGTGTTCTTCCCTAGAAACTGGCAGTAAGATTCCCAGCCGAGAATTAAACTTTTTTTTTTTTTGAGACGGAGTTTGCTCTTGTTGCCCAGGTTGGAGTGCAATGGTGTGATCTTGGCTTACCACAACCTCCACCTCCTGGGTTCTAGCAGTTCTCGTGCCTCAGCCTCCCGAGTAGCTGGGATTACAGGCATGCACCACCATGCCTGGCTAATTTTGTATTTTTAGTAGAGATAGGGTATCTCCATGTTGGTCAGGCTGGTCTCGAACTCCTGAGCTCAGGTGATCCGCCCGCCTCGGCCTCCCACAGTGCTGGGATTATAGGCGTGAGCTACCGTGCCCAGCCTTAAACTTTCAAATCAACATATGAACCCATGGAGATAAGGGCAGGGTTCGAGAGACTAAGGCTCTGGAGAACAGATGGGATCTGGCTGTAGGAGTTCCCATTTCTTGAGGAAGTGATGTTGATCAGCCCATAGTCACAGAGGCAGAAAGCCCAAGTACCACCCAAGGCAGAAGGAATTCTGGATGTGGGAACTGGAGTGTGTTGGCCTCTAACAAAGATTAGAGAACCTGAAGCCACCTAGTGACTGCCATACAACTACCATGTAATTACCATCTGCTGGGCCTGGCAGCTAGGGCTGGTGCCAAAGGATGGCTTGGTGGTGTGGGAAGGGGTTATCTCCTCATAATCCCCCTCAATGCCCCAAGCCACCCTCAAACAAACATACAAACAAATGATGTTCCTGGATTTCAGCAAGATTATGTGCAGTCAGGTAGAGTGAACCAGGGTATCTTGAGAACGGGTTATGTTATTGATCTGTCACATACAATGTAGTGAAAGTGTTGTGCTTGCCAAGCAGAGCAGCGTAAGACGAGCCCTCTAGTCCCTACTTCCAATCAAACTGCTAGCCCTGAGTCCTTGCCACGTGGAATGTTCTAATTGCTGCTGCAGATACTCCACATATATGATTTTATTTAATCCTTATAGCTCTAAGAGGTGGACATGAGGCCATCTCTAAAGATGGTGGACAGTAGGGATTTAGAGCTTTTTCTCTGACCTTCTCAGACCTGGGCCAAGATATGTGTGTGTATGTGTGTGTGTGAGAGATCTTTGGCCTTTCTAAGTCTCTTTCCCCTTCTCTGTGGGGAGAATACCTACTTGAAGGAGTTGTGCATTGAGGCACATAGTAGGCACTTGTGAGCAATGCCTATTTTTTTTTTTTTTTTTTTTGAGACGGAGTCTCACTCTGTCTCTCACACTGGAGTGCAGTGGTGCGATCTCAGCCAAGTGATTCTTGGCTCACAAGTGATTCTTGGTTCACCAGGTTCAAGTGATTCTCTTGCCTCAGCCTCCCGAGTAGCTGGGATTACAGGAGTGCACCACCATGCCCGACTAATTTTTGCATTTTAGTAGAGATGGGGTTTTGCCATACTGGCCAGCCTGGTCTCGAGCTCCTGACCTCAGGTGATCCACCTACCTCAGCCTCCCAAAGTGCTGGGATTATAGGTGTGAGCCACTGCACCCGGCCGAGGCCTGTTTGGTAGCCAGGAGACTGACCATCCTTGGGGAACACCTTAAGCTTAAGCTCTGAAACTGCACTAACACTCTTGGGGACTGGAGACGATGGGTGTGCTTGGCTCACAGTGGATGTTCAATGAGAGGCCATTTCCTATTTCAGGGGATCAAGGACTTGGCCCAGGGCATGACCCTGAGGAGTTTTTGGTCTGTCTCCACAGACTGCCATAGGCAACACACTGGTCCAGGACATCTGTTATTCTCCAGATACCCGAAAGCTCCTCCTCCGCCTCAGTGACACTTACAACAGGTAAGATTTTTGGTCATATCAGCACTTTGGGGAGGGCTGAGTGCCCAGATTTATAGCTCTGCCTTGGTCTGGCTGTGCTGTGTCCAGTCAAACCATGATTTACGCCGCCAGAGCGTTTCTTTCCCCAGTAGGAAGACATTCCCACTTGTTCTTCCCTGCTTTCCTGCTGAGCTGTTTGAGCAAGCTGCACCCTGGCCTGTTTTACAGAATCTGTGTGGTGAGTGGGCTGTGAAATGGGTTTGTCCTAATCCGTCTCATTTATGAACCAGGTCATTTCTGGAGAACCTGAAAGTGAACACGGAGAATCTGCTGCAAGTTGAAAACACAGGGAAGGTGAAAGGGCTTATTCTTACCCTTAAAGGAGAGCCTGGTGAGCAGAGCCAGTCGTTTGACTTTTACTCCAGATATTTTGCACCGTGGGTTGGTGTGGCTGAAGACCCGGTGACAGGTACTTTTTACTTGAGCCCAGGCGAGGGTTAAACAATGGAAGAGGAGGATCACACATAGTTATTAAATGCACTTCATGTGACCTTTCAGGTGGCTTGGGTTTTGAGCTGCCTTATTCCCCTATCTTTCCCCATTCCTGCCATCCCTTCACTGAAGTCTCACATGAAAAACATGAAATAGAGCAGGCAGATAGCAGAGTTAAATCTGAGTGTCAGGCAGCCTGGGTTTACACTCCAAGCTTCCTAGCTCTTGACCTTGGGCAAGTGACTTGACTTTTAAAGTTCTCAGTTCCCTGCTCTATAAATTGTATGTAATACCTGATAGGGGTATAACAACACAGTGTCTGTTAAGGGCTTAACACTGTGCCTGGCACATGGTAAGTGCCCAATAACTACTATCTATTATATTGTATTCTGTTTTTTTGAGGTAGGGTCTCTCACAAGTGATTCTCGGCCTCCCAGGTTCAAGTGATTCTCCTGCCTCAGCCTCCCGAGTAGCTGGGACTACAGACGTCCGCCACCACACCTGGCTATTTTTGTATTTTTAGTAGAGATAGGGTTTCACCATGTTGGCCAGGATTGTCCTGAACTCCTGACCTCAAATGGTCCCTCCTTGGCCTTCCAAAGTGCTGGGATTATAGGCATGAACCACTGCACCTAGCCAACTACTAGCTATTTTAATATTAACAACAAAACTAGCTCCTTGAGCCAACACTTCTAGATTGTCTGCCACCTGGGAGCAGAGGGATGAGTCAAAGATGGGCAGAAATGTCATGACTCCTACTCTCACCCTCTTTGGGAACAGTGGGCTGCATTGCAAAGGACGAGAAAGCTTGATGTGGGAGGATGTGGGTGGGATGGTGAAGGGGCCACAGGAGGCTGGGCAGAGCCTTCAAGGCTCCGTTCTGGTAAGATGACAGGGCCTGGATGGCTCAGTCACTCTGTGAGGAACAAAACACGTGAAATTCAAAACTCAGCAAACAAGCACTTTTAAAGATCCACCCTGCCACTCAGCTTCCAAAGGTGCTGGGCTTAAACGGTAATCGAGCCACTGTGAACTGGTCGTTACAGTTTCTTAAGCTGCAATTATGAACTGCAGTTTTAATTTTGATCTTGTCCTAAACACAGCTAATTGTTTAGCCCTTGGTAGGAGAATCAAGGCCTTTTGCATAATTTTTTTTTCTTTTCTTTTTTTTTTTTTTTTTGGGATAGGAGTCTCGCTCTGTCACCCAAGGCCTGGAGTGCCAGTGGTCAACAATCTTGGCTCACTGCAACCTCCGCCTCCCCAGGCTGAAGTGATTCTCTTGCCTCAGCCTCCTGAGTAGCTGGATTACAGGCATGCGCCGTCCACGCACAGCTGATTTTTGTATTTTAGGTGGAGACAGGTTTACCATGTTGGCCAGGCTGTTCTTGAACTCCTGACTCAAGTGATTCACCCATTTCAGCCTCCCAAAGGGCTGGATTACAGGCATGGCCCACTGTGCCAGCCTGGCATAAGTCTTTCTACCATTTATCTTTTTTTGTGGTGGGGTCTCCCTTTGTGCTCGGTGCTGCTCTGAATCCTGGCCTCATGCCCGTCCTCCTCGGCCTCCAAAGTGATGGGTTATAGGCATGAGCCCACTGCAACCTGGCCAAAAGGCTAAATTTTCCACCAAGCTAACATTCCTGAGCTTTTGGTGCCAAAAGAACTCTCTTTTAGTGAGGTATTTTTTCATGTTTGTACTCTAGATTTAGATCAGAGATTAGATTTTAAAATGAAATCAACAAAATATACAGCAATAACTGACAGAAAAATATTTTGCGAGAAAAAGATGGGGAGGAAGCCTCTCATTTAGGAAAACCTATTAAGTGTTATGGGGCCGGGCATGGTGGCTCATGCCTGTAATCCCAGCACTTTCGGAGGCCGAGGCGGGTGGATCACCTGAGGCTAGGAGTTCGAGACCAGCCTGGCAACATGGCAAAACCCTCTTTCTACTTAAATACAAAAATTAGCCTGGCATGGTGGCAGGTGCCTGTGATCCCAGCTACTCGGGAGCTGAGGCAGGAGAATCTCTTGAACCCGGGAGGCGGAGGGTGCAGAGAGTTGAGATCATGCCATTGCACTCCAGCCTGGGCAACAAGAGAGAGAGTCCTTCTCAATAAAAAAAAAAAAAAAAAAAAAGGTGTTTATGGGATGTTCAAGTAAGGCAACCAACCATCCTGGTTGTGCGAGACTGTTCTGGTTTAGCACTGAAAGTTCCGTATCCTGAGAAACCCCTCATTCCCAAGCAAACCCAGATGGTTGGTCATCAAATCCAAGTCCAAGGGCCTTTACCTCTAGAAAAGCATTACTACAGGAAAAAAAAAAACAAAAAAACTTGCACTCTGTGCAATTAAAATCTTTGCGAAGCAGCTGTGCATGTGCAGATCTGCTCAGAACTCTTCTTCCATGGGAGAGACCTGGACTGTTTGGATATTGTTGGGCTTTTTCCTGAG